GAGTGACTGAGAATTCAAAACTTAATGCTGGCAGTCAAATGCAAGTCGTTACACATCTGTGATTTTCTCTCCAGGAGTTAGCTGTGCCCGTGGTCCACGACGGGGGCGCCCTTCTGGCTTTTGTCTGCGGTGTGGTRTATACGCTCCTGCAATCCATCATCTCTTACAAATCGTGTCCACAGTGGAACAGCCTCTTGACGTGCCACATACGCATGGCCATCTCTGCTGTTTCCTGTGCAGCTGTTGTTCCTAGTATCCTTTTCACATTTGTCAGTTGCTAAAGCAAAAAAAAAATTACTGGCATTTATTAAAGTATGGTAAGGAGGACTTCTTTTTAGGCCATAGTGATAGGTGTAGAGACTACTGTACGTCTTGCAGGGGAGAGAGACTGGGCTGAACTCCCARTACAGCATGGGCAAGTGGGTATTTTAGCCATAGAAGCAGGGCAGGGTCAGAGGTATCGGTGGGGGATGCTGGCTTAACTAATTCTTCTCTTTTTTAAAAATTTATTTTCAGTACTGGGGATTGATCTCAAGGGTGCTGTACCACTGAGCTACATCCCCAGTCCTTTTTATTTTATTTTGAGTCAGGGTCTCACTACGTTGCCCAGGCTGGACTTGAACTTGTRATGCTCCTGCCTCGGCCTTTYRAGTCACTGGAATTACAGGCGTGTGTCATTGTGCTGGGCTAAAAYTGGATTTTAGAATGAAGTGTCCAGATRGACTTGGGAGAAGTTTCAGGAGTTCAAAGTTTGGCCAAGCAAAGAATYTTTGTTACACTGTCCTAGCAAGTTTGACACCCTCTCCAAAGGCATGGAAAAAAAAAAAATCAAAGGATAAAACCAAGTTTCTACATTCTTCAGAACAACAAAYGGGAGAAAACTGTAAATCATTAAGAAAACATCTCAACTTGGTCTGGTTAGATCAAAYGAATCTTTGGGGAGAAAATGGTGTGAAAGGGGAATGGAACAATGTAGGAACACTTCAGWCTCTATTTACTTTCCTTTCCACAGTCTAGTTTCATGAGCCATTTGAAAATATTTAGTTTTCTTTGTAGTGCTTGGCTGAAGATACCAAATATTGATATTGAACTTAAAGCAATAGTCCTGTGAAGTCCCAAGTGTTCACACTGAGATGTTGAAAAAACCATCACTTATTAAGTCAATTAAAAGGTAGGTAGTCTTTTTGTAGTTCAAAATAAAGTTCATTTTCTAATTCAGCAATGTGAAAAAAATTATATGAATTTGTCATGATTGTATATTCTGATTTAGAGGAAA